CCACCACCACCATCATCATCATCATCATCATCACCATCATCATCATCACCACCATCATCATCATCATCACATTGTTTGAATCAACACAATTTGTTTTATCACCTTCTAGAAGATCATCCCACTAGTATAACTGGTAAGCAAAGCATATTCATATCTGAACTTAACAAAACAGTTATTTCTATGGAGATCTCAAAAAAATGGGGATCTCCAAGTCACCATAGGTCCCTCTCACAAAGCGGAAACTTTGAGTTTGAACATGTAAAGATCATCCCACTCAGTATCACTGCTTAGCACGTATATTCAATGCATAATCATATATTATATATATATAACTTAACTTAACTTAACTTTATAACACATGCAGTTATATATGGAGCTTTCCTAAAATTGGGGGCGGTACCCCCAGCATCCCCCAGTCATCATCCATTCTATGTTCGGATTTTCCATGAAATCAACCATCCATCCAGCTATTCGGGTACCTCCATGATTTAGGACCCCGCAAATCATCCGCGTTGGTCCTGTTTAACCCAGGGTTCCCCCAATCATCATCCTTTTTTACGAAAGCCAGCTAGCTGGCTAGTTGCTGTTTGCGAACGAAGTGAGAATAGGGGGTGTGGGGGGGAGTGGTTGCCGAAAGGGAACAAAATCTCGCCGTAAGGCTGTGAGGAGCGCCAGAAAACGGAGCATTTTGCTGGACTATGTACCACTAGGCAATTTGCTGACGGTGGGGTATCGATTCTCCCTAGGTCCGCCTTTTTGGTGGCCGGAGAGACCATGAGGATGTATTGGAAAATACAATGAAACATGCGATAACACCCAGAGGAAATGGTGCAAAAACGATTGGAAACTGAAGGAGACGGGTAAAACTCTGGGCAAAATATATTGAAAATGCGTGAAATGCAGGAAACGAGAGGAAATGGTACAAAAAGCCATAGAGGAAAGCGGTGAAAATGGTGGGAAGCATGTAATAAAAAAAGCTGGACAAAACGCCCTGAAAACCTAGAAAAGAGAAGAAAGTAACCGCAGGAAACGGTAGAAAAAACCGTGGAAACTGGAAGCAAAGTTGTGACAATATTAGGAAAACGGTGTACAAGCTAGGAAATGCTTGTAACAACTAGAGGAAACGATGTAGAAAATAGTACAACATGAAGGACACACGTGAACATGCTAGGAGGCATGTAGCATGTTAGAAAAAGACAGTGAAAACCAAGAAAAATATCCCCGATGGTATTTCCACTACAAAAAGGGAGAACACGTGTACGGTATAAAATGGTCTGGGGATATGTTTTTGTAGCTGAAATTAGTCTTGGGCCCCCCTTTTTGTAGTAAAGTTACCCTAGGCATTTTGTAGGCCCCCTGTTTGGCAAATACAATAGGCTTTTTGTAGGCCTCCAAAACGTGGAATCGAAAATGGAAGATTATGTGATATTACATCAGCTTATAAATTGCTGACTGCATTTTGTAGTCTCTTTGTGTCTGAATCATGCAATGTACAACGCAGCCCAAGAGAATCAGGGAATGCATTTTGTAGCCTCAGTATCCCCGTTCGAATTTCCACTACAGAATGGGAGGCCTTGTGCCCCGTTTCAAGGCCTTGCCAGGCTTAAAATAAGATGAAAAAATGGGGTTGAAAATAAATACTATAGCCAGGACCATTAACTAGTCTGCCGAACAGGCAGTGTCCTGAACAGGGACGTTTTTTTTTTTAAATAGGAAACATATGTAGTCCAGGACTTTGTCCTTGGAGTTATATATATATATAGTCCAGGACTCTGTCCTTGGAGTTGTGTATATATATATATATACACCGTGTCTTTGGAGTTATACAAATATGCGTAGCTTAGTTCCCTAAAATAACGCACCTACCCTAGTAAAAAAAACAAATTGCAGCTCTTGGCAACGTTTTGTGGGAACTCTTCATTTGTTGTGTTTTGGTTGCTTTTTGTTTATTATTACACACAATTAAATGATCCATAGTGATCCTAATTGACCCTAATGAACACTAAATAACATTCATTGACACTAATTGGACACTAAATGTCACTAATTGACACTCAATTGCACTACTTGCCACTAAATAAAGCTAATCGATACGAATTGACACCACTAATTGACTGTAGATGACACGATGTCACACTAATTGACACGCATATTAGATACCATGCTTACATGAGGGTCGTTGGAACTTCATGCTATAGTTGATCACAGCATGCATTTTGTAGTGAAGTGAGGCGGCCTCATCATTTTGTAGCGCGCAGTAATTGGATGGGCAGACTTTGGTACTTTAGGTGCTCGACACGAAATAAAACCCAGATATATAAGTAGTTAATACTACAGATATATATAAATATATATAAGTATTAAAAAACATATATATATATATGTAAATTGCTACAGATGTATACTAGGATGTGGTCCTTGAAAATAAATACTATAGCCAGGACCATGACGAAACAGTAACTAGTCTGCCGAACAGGCAGTGTCCTGAACAGGGACGTTTTTTTTTTTAAAAATAGGAAACATATGTAGTCCAGGACTTTGTCCTTGGAGTTATATATATATATAGTCCAGGACTCTGTCCTTGGAGTTGTGTGTATATATATATACACCGTGTCTTTGGAGTTATACAAATATGCGCAGCTTAGTTCCCTAAAATAACGCACCCTAGTAAAAAAAACAAATTGCAGCTCTTGGCAACGTTTTGTGGGAACTCTTCATTTGTTGTTTTTTGGTTGCTTTTTGTTTATTATTACACACAATTAAATGATCCATAGTGATCCTAATTGACCCTAATGAACACTAAATAACATTCATTGACACTAATTGGACACTAAATGTCACTAATTGACACTCAATTGCACTACTTGCCACTAAAGAAAGCTAATCGATACGAATTGACACCACTAATTGACTCTAGATGACACGATGTCACACTAATTGACACGCATATTAGATACCATGCTTACGTGAGGGTCGTTGGAACTTCATGCAATAGTTGATCACAGCATGCATTTTGTAGTGAAGTGAGGCGGCCTCATCATTTTGTAGCGCGCAGTAATTGGATGGGCAGACTTTGGTACCCAGATATATAAGTAGTTAATACTACATATATATTTATATAAGTATTAAAAAACACACATATATATATATATGTAAATTGCTACAGATGTATACTAGGATGTGGTCCTTGAAAATAAATACTATAGCCAGGACCATGACGAAACAGTAACTAGTCTGCCGAACAGGCAGTGTCCTGAACAGGGACGTTTTTTTTTTTAAATAGGAAACATATGTAGTCCAGGACTTTGTCCTTGGAGTTATATATATATATATACCAGGACTTTGTCCTTGGAGGTGCATATGTATATATATATATAGTCCAGGACTTTGTCCTTGGAGTTATGTATGTATGTATATATATATATAGACCAGGACCTTGTCCTTGGAATTACTTATGCGTATATAGTCCAGGACTTTGTCCTTGGAGTTATGTATATTCATATAGAATCATATATATATATACCAGGACTTTGTCCTTGGAGTTACATATGTATGTATATATATATATATAGTCCAGGACTCTGTCCTTGGAGTTGTGTATATATATATATACACCGTGTCTTTGGAATTATACAAATATGCGTAGCTTAGTTCCCTAAAATAACGCACCTACCCTAGTAAAAAACACAAATTGCAGCTCTTGGCAACGTTTTGTGGGAACTCTTCATTTGTTGTTTTTTGGTTGCTTTTTGTTTATTATTACACAGAATTAAATGATCCATAGTGATCCTAATTGACCCTAATGAACACTGAATAACATTCATTGACACTAATTGGACACTAAATGTCACTAATTGCACTACTTGCCACTAAATAAAGCTAATCGATACGAATTGACACCACTAATTGACTCTAGATGACACGATGTCACACTAATTGACACGCATATTAGATACCATACTGGGCTTTGAGCAAAGATGATTCGAAAACAAACTGGGTGAGACTACAAAAAGACTTGGGCTTATCTTAGTCGCTTTTGCATCTGTTTTCAACATCCATAACAAAAATGCGAGTGGCTTTTTGTAGGCTCCACCTGGGTATGTGTGGGGTACCTGCAGCATCATTTTGTAGAGCTGCTTTTTGGGTTGGGCATACCTTTTTGTAGCTAGGGGACCCGTGACCCCATATTTCATACCTACAAAACTGGTACACAGCTGCTCACCCTATATTCCATCGAGGATAGAAAAATGTTATAACTAAAAATGCTTAAAAAAATATAGTGAAAACCAAAACACTGTTAACGAGCGGAAACGATGAAAAAACCAGTGGCGCGCAGGAAAATCTCCGTTTGATTGGTGAATGGGACGTCTTTCGAAGGTGTGAAAGAACTGCTAGATGATCTGTTTCGAAAACTGTTGTTCTGGGTATGCTGGTCTGATAGATAGGATAAGCTATAGAGTGTGGTCGGTGAGCTCCGAGATGCGTGTGGTTCAAGCAACATCTGCTGGTTCGTGATCGATGCGTGGGCTCTGAGAGCAAGGAGTTCGGTAGGGTGCTCAAGCCTCAGAACTGGAATGGCATTGGGTACAGGGTTTAATACCAAAGGATTATCTCAAGCAAAAAGTTGAGCAGATTCCGTCAACTGATCCTGTGTAGGGGAATTTGTTTTCAGTCACCGCAGACTTTGCAAAACAAACAATAGTTGGCTTGATGGATAGGTTATGCGTGGATGTACGAAATACAGTCGTGGTAGACTGTGGCTGTGGCATCCTCAGCAATTGATGGGATGCGCATTAAATCTATCTAACTGTGGTTGTTTTTGCTGTTCGGCTGTCAGTGTTGAATAACTGTCCACCAAACGTGCGTGCCGCTGCTGTGATGATGGAGTTTACAAATGCAGTGAAAACAAGTAGTTGAAACCGGTGAAGAAAATACAATGAGAAGGCAGGAAACTACAGGAAAGTGTTACAGAAAGCAGAAGACGTGTAGCAGAAATTGCCATGGTCCGTGCTTCCACGCCGCCGCCGCTGACAGTGTTTGCTTCCGCAGACCTGCCGTGCCCTGTTTGCAGAGACGCGGTTGTGACGCGGTTCGCGTTTTGTAATTGTTTCGAAATATGCTTTGCGTCTTCGGTTGAGGCCAAGGGCTGCAGGGGCTAGAAGTCTCGGGGCGAGGACAAAGGCGGTGTTCCCGCCGCGTTCGTTACTTGGTGATTCTGTCTAGGAGAAGTATTGTGGTTATTTGGGGGTGTTGCGTTGGCATGTGGTATCAGGAATCGGTCAGGAAGGCCTTATGAAGAGGCGATGTTTCTAGTAGGTGTTTGTAACAAGACGAGGTCAGTGAAAAGAGCGGCACCTCCAATTGGACTTCCGTGCTTTGTCTGCAAGTGTGTTTTTCGGCTGCTTGTTATTCATGACTGGGGAGTTATTCATGGCAACTGAGGCAACAAAGTTTTTGCTCTTGTTTGTTTTGGTTCCGGCCACCAGCGAAAAGAACTGCAACTCCAATTGGACTTGCGTGTTGTGTCTGCAAGTGTGTTGTTTTGGCACGTTGTTAGTCATGGTGGCTGGAGAAAAACGGTTTTTGATGTTTTTTGTTGTGGTTCAGGCCACCTGTTCGTCCAAAGAACCCTGCGCTACCAATTGGATTGGCGCGCTGTGGCTGCAAGGGGGCGTGCTCCATATCTTCTAATGTTTTGGCTGTGGCAACTTTTGTATCATTGCTAAGGCCGCCACCGCTTGCGAAGAAAGCTCGACCGCTTCCGTGCTGTGTCCGCAAGTAAGGTTGTTTCACGTTGTTGCAAGCAGTTTTGGTTACAGTTGGTCAAGCCAATTGCTTATGGCTTACAATGTTTTGGCTTTAGCAACTCTTCTATCAGAGCTAAGGCCGCCATCTCTTCCAAAGAAAGCTCGGCCATTTCTGTGCTGTGTCCGCAAGGAAGGTTGTTTCACGTTGTTACAGGTAATTTTGGTTGTGGCCGGTCAAGGCAACCCGCTCTTCGGCCAAAGAAAGCTCGACCGCTTCCGTGCTGTGTCCGCAAGGAAGGTTGTTTCACGTTGTTGCAAGTAGTTTTGGTTACAGCTGGATGTTTTGGCTTTAGCAACTCTTCTATCAGAGCTAAGGCCGCCATCTCTTCCAAAGAAAGCTCGGCCACTTCTGTGCTGTGTCCGCAAGGAAAGTTGTTTCACGTTGTTACAGGTGGTTTTGGTTGTGGGCGGTCAAGGCAACCCGCTCTTCGGCAGAGAGCGTCAGCAGCACCGCATGCAGCAGGAGCAGATGTAGAGGCAACGATTTGTGTCCAATTTTAGACCTGCAATCCAGACAGGTAAGGTCCTGAATCCTCATGTCTATGGCACGAACCGCTACAGAGAGCAGAGTATGCCATAGAATAGTGGAGTATTCGTTTGGATTTGAATTTTTGCTGGAGCTTGTTCCTTGTTGAGTACCTATCTTCTTTCCAGGCAACAGCAGGAACAGTTGCAAAGGCGCAAGTGATACTTTGAGTTCTCCGTGCGGTGTCGCGGTGTTGGAAGTCACAAGTAGCCTTGTTGCAATGTGACAGGCTGCAGCAGTGTTGTACTCTTGGGGACCAAACCAGTTGTTGCCAATTGGTCTTAGCTTTGTGGAATGGCTCTTGAGTAGCTTCGTGGCACATTTTTGGTGCAGCCTGTCTTCCTTGCAGGCAAAGGCTACTCCTTCAGAAGCTGCAGCAGGCATGGTTGTGGAGGCAATCAACTGACTCGTCGTGCGCTCGCAAGAGTAGCAATTCGCAGATCTGGAGCTCCCTTCGCCTCAAGCGTCAGCAGCACCGCATGCAGCAGGAGCAGATGTGGAGGCAACGATTTGTGTCCAATTTTTAGACCTGCCATCCAGACTGGTAAGGTCGTGAATCCTCATGTCTATGGCACGAACCGCTACAGAGAGCAGAGTATGCCATAGAATAGTGGAGTATCCGTTTGGATTTGAATTTTTGCTGGAGCTTGTTCCTTGTTGAGTACCTATCTTCTTTCCAGGCAACAGCAGGAACAGTTGCAAAGGCGCAAGTGATACTTTGAGTTCTCCGTGCGGTGTCGCGGTGTTGGAAGTCACAAGTAGCCTTGTTGCAATGTGACAGGCTGCAGCAGTGTTGTACTCTTGGGGACCAAACCAGTTGTTGCCAATTGGTCTTAGCTTTGTGGAATGGCTCTTGAGTAGCTTCGTGGCACATTTTTGGTGCAGCCTGTCTTCCTTGCAGGCAAAGGCTACTCCTTCAGAAGCTGCAGCAGGCATGGTTGTGGAGGCAATCAACTGACTCGTCGTGCGCTCGCAAGAGTAGCAATTCGCAGATCTGGAGCTCCCTTCGCCTCAAGCAAGTCTATCTGTGTCCAAGCCTGCAGCCTTCAGGCCAGCCCATCTGTGTCCAAGTCAGCCACAGAAACAGTGATGGAGGCGGAGGTGCGTGCACAGATTTTGCCGGGAGGTCGAGGAGACCAACCCAGAAAGTCCGGTTGTTGCCAAGGGCACCGAGAGCAGCTCTGTGAGTGGCAATCCCGCAGTGCCCACAAGTGTGAAGGTGGGGGTTGGCGAATGACTCAGGGTTTGGTTGTTGAAAACGAGAGAGAATATTTTGTTGGCAGGCAGAAACTATGCTACCTGCTTTGGACGTGGTCATGTCGTTGCAGGTGCCACATGTACTGATTTGAATTATGATATAAGATATCTTTTCGATACTTGAGTTTGAGGCCGCTTTGCCACACTTATCCAGAGCAGCTGCTGCGGATGTGAAGGCTTGTGTGGATAGAGTGACAATTACTGTTGTCACGGGGGGTGTTTATATGAGGCAGCACTACAAGCCCTTGGCACCCCTTTGACGCTAGAGGCAGGCCATGAAAACGGGTATCCGAAGAAATTTTGCAAGCAGGTGTTGTGTCGCGAAGCGTCCGCATGGCTGTGAGGGGCTTGCTTGGGCTTGTTTCTTGTTCAGGCAGGCTTATCTTCTTCGAAGGTGTCAGCAGACGCAGTGGTGGAGGTAGGCGCACGGATAAATTTTGCGTTTCCGGCGCGGTTGTTTTCTAGCAGCTCACTCGTTCAGGCCAGCTCATCTTGTGCGACGACTTCAAAGGTTCCAGCAGGAACAGCTATAGAGGCGATCAGCCTACTGTGAGGGGCTTGCTTGGGCTTGTTTCTTGTTCAGGCAAGCTCATCTTCTTCGAAGGTGTCAGCAGAAGCAGTGGTAGAGGTAGGCGCACGGATAAATTTTGCGTTTCCGGCGCGGTTGTTTTCTAGCAGCTCACTCGTTCAGGCCAACTCATCTTGTGCGACGACTTCAAAGGTTCCAGCAGGAACAGCTATGGAGGCGATTAGCCTAGCCCCGGTCGTTCCTAGTCGTTCACAGACCTAGGACCCCCCCCCCTCCCCCCCGGGTCTGGGAAGCAGCTATTTTTCCATTTACATATCTTTTTTTTCCCTGCTTGATACTAGCTTCTCCGATTGTCTATTCTGATGGCACATGCAGGGACAGTCACAGTTTTTTGGTCAGGTTAGCCCATCAAGTGTCAAGTCTGCAGCAGGGGCGGTTGTGGAGGCACTGGTGAGAGAACGAGAATGCTATAGCATTGTGAAGTGTCGGTTTGGATTTGAATGTTTGCTGGAGCTTGTGCCTTCTTTAGACAAGCCCATCTTCTTTCCAGGCAACAGGAGGAACAGCTACGAAGGCACAAAGTTTGAAGTTACACGTGGCATTGTTGTTGTAGTATTGCAACATGACAGGCAGCAGCACTGTTGTATTGTTGGAGATCAAACCAGTAGTTGCTCATAGATCTGGAGCCCTTGCTCCCTCAGGCAAGTTCATCTGTGTCGAAGCTTGCAGCAGAAACGGTGGTAGAGGCAAGACCATTAGACAGACTATTGTTTGGGTTCGTTGTACTACTTGGTCATCTTGACACACGTGCATTTACCCATTAATCCCATTAATAGCATGGTGGATCTTTCCAGTTCGTGATGTTAGTCATTACCAGAGGGTATTTTCTGGGTTTTCAGCTTTCTATTTTTCCATGGGAACATCCGCTATTTCTATGGTCATTTTCAATAGCGAACTGGTAAATTACCAGAGGGAATATTATACCAGTGATATAGCCAGAGGGATAAAATGGCCCACATGACCAGAGGGATAAAATGGTGATTTTCCATAGTCATGTTATGATACCATTAACATATATTGGTATGGATCAATACCTATTAATACCATTTTTAGGGGAATGAACATCCATAAATCCCAGCTATTTTGATGTGAACTACAGGGGTACAAGGTCTTGACACACTGCCATATATATCTATCCCATGGATTCATCTTGTCGTCTCTCCCCCCAGGTGGTGACTTTGGAGCTGCGTTCCCTGGAGCAACGGTTAAACTACGGCAGCGTTTCGGCTGGCGCCATGGATGAGGCCAAGGAGGCCATGGCCAAGGCAACGCAACGGGGAAAACACTGGGAGTTTGGAGGGAAAAAGGTGGAAACACCTGGGGAAACCGTGGAGAAAAATGGGAAAATTGGACTTGGAAAAGGTTGGGATGGTTTTGAACGAAAGGTGGGAGTTTGGTTGGAGAAATAGGGAAGTCCAGCTGGGAAAAACGTTAGATTTTAGATGTTCAGCCAATAAATTCAATCAAAATGCGTGATTCAACTTTGGCAGAGGTGAAGCTTAACCGGCTCAAGTGAACATCTCTAATATGAAAACTGGGGCACATATGATGCTAAATTCTCACAAAACATCCTTTATCAGCTGCTATTATCATTAGTAACTTCATCCCAGTCAACATTACCATATTATATTACCAGATTCCCAGATTCTATGAATATTCCTATCCCACTATATTCTCCTCTGAAATTTTCCCGATTCTATATATACATGAATATTCCATAATATTCCTATCCCCCTATATTACCCTCTGGTAAACTAACATAACTATGGAAAATCACCATTTTCAATGGGTAAATCCACTATAAATCACCAATTTTGTCACTGCGTCCGCATGAAATCCCTCGCCCAATTTTCGACTGTAAAACCTCCGCTGATTCTCCGTGAGGAGCTGGCGGAGCAACAGGTGCAACTGGAGCAGCGCCGGGAGGAGGTGGTGAAGTTGGAGGAATCTTTGGAAGTCGCGCAGGTGGGCAGCAAGATTGGGGAAGACTCCTGAGATTTCGATCTAAAACATTTGTTGAGGGTAAGGGCCTCGCTTCGGAACGCGTCTTCAGGCATCGCTTCGGAACGCGCTCTCATGCATCGCTTTTGAACGTACCTCCTCACCACCATCATCATCATCATCATCCTCATTATCATCATCATCATCGTCATCATCATCATCATCATCGTTTTCGTCATCATCATCATCATCATCGTGGCTCTTTTTACATCAACTACAACAAGATATAAACCCTAAAGGTGTCGTGGCTCTCCTTACATCAAGTACAACGAGATATAAAGCCTAAAGGTGTCGTGGCTCTTCTTACATTAAGTGCAACAAGATATAAACCCTAAAGGTGTCGTGGCACTCCTTAAATCAAGTATACAACAAGATATACACCCGAAAGTTGTCGTGGTAGTCCTTAGATAAAGTGCAACAACGTAAAACCCTAAAGGTGTCGTGCCTCTTCTTACATCAAGTACAACAAGATATAAGCCCTAAAGGTGCCGTGGCTCTTCTTACATCAAGTGCAACAAGATATAAACCCTAAAGGTGTCATGGCTCTTCTTACATCAAGTGCAACAAGATAGAAACCCTAAAGGTGCTGTGGCTCTTCTTACATCAATGCAACAAGATATAAACCCTAAAGGCGTCGTGGCTCTCCTTACATCAAGTGCAACAAGATATAAATCCGAAAGGTGTCGTGGCTCTTTTTACATCAAGTGCAACAAGATATAAACACTAAAGGCGTCGTGGCTCTTCTTACATGAAGTGCAACAAGATATAAACCCTAAAGGTGTCGTGGCTCTATATCAAGTGCAACAAAATATAAACCCTAAAGGTGTCGTGGCTCTCCTTAAATTAAGTGCAAGAAGGTATAAACCCTAAAGGTGTCGTGGCTCTTCTTACATAAGTGCAACAAGATACAAACCCTAAAGGTGTCATGGCTCTTCTTACATCAAGTGCAACAAGATATTAACCCTAAAGGTGTCGTGACACTTCTTACATCAAGTTCAACAACATAGAAACCCTAAAGGTGTTGTGCCTCTTCTTACATCAAGTGCAACAAGGTACAAACCCTAAAGGTGCCGTGGCTCTTCTTACATAAGTGCAACAAGATATAAACCCTAAAGGTATCATGGCTCTTCTGACATCAAGTGCAACAAGATATAAACCCTAAAGGCGTCGTGGCTCTCCTTACATCAAGTGCAACAAGATACAAACCCTAAAGGTGTCGTGGCTCTGCTTACATCAAGTTCAACAACATATAAACCCTAAAGATGTCTAAAGGTGTCATGGCTCTTCTTACATCAAGTGCAACAAGATATTAACCCTAAAGGTGTCGTGACACTTCTTACATCAAGTTCAACAACATATAAACCCTAAAGGTGTCGTGCCTCTTCTGACATCAAGTGCAACAAAATATAAACCCTAAAGGTGCCGTGGCTCTTCTTACATCAAGTGCAACAAGATATAAACCCTAAAGGTGTCATGGCTCTTCTGACATCAAGTTCAACAAGATATAAACCCTAAAGGTGCCGTGGCTCTTCTTACATCAAGTGCAACAAGATACAAACCCTAAAGGTATCGTGGCTCTGCTTACATCAAGTTCAACAACATATAAACCCTAAAGATGTCTAAAGGTGTCATGGCTCTTCTTACATCAAGTGCAACAACATGTAAACCCTAAAGGTGTCGTGGCAGTCCTGACATCAAGTGCAACAACATATAAATCCTAAAGGTCTCGTTGCTCTTCTTACATCAAGTACAACAAGGCTTCTTACATCAAGTACAACAAGGCTTTTATTTCATATCTTCACCTTCATTTTCTGTGGCAGGCGTGGGACCTTTTTACATCGACCTTCATTTTGTGTGGCAGGTGTGGCACTTTTGTACATCGACTGTCCTTTTACGTGGCAGGCGTGGGACTTTATGACATGGTTGAAACGAGTCAAATTCTCATAGGAGGATGTTTTTTGTGTTGGTGTCGCTTTGGAACGCGTTTTTCTTCCAAAGTCTCGCGCCTGTCAGTAAATCTGATGTGTGTGTGTATGTCGGGGTTTCCATGAGTTGTGTTATTTTGTGTTCTGAAGTGATCCAAAATGGCTGTGTTCTGAAGTGATGCCTGAGAGTGTGTTCTGAAGTGATCCTTTTACCTTTGTGGAAGAGTTGTTGCTAAGAAAACATGGAGAGTTGAGATGACTTAAAAAAAGAACAAATGATATTGTATCCATGAAGAAAGGAGGTTTTCACCAGGAAAAACAAGCAGTTTTCACCAACAACAGTTTATTGGATTTTGATGATTTTGCTTGGTCCTTACATGGAGGAACCCCCAAATGGCTATTTCAGTGAGAGAATGATCATCGACCAAGAGATCTTGGGTAGCTTATTTTCAGACCAACCCATATTGTTGTTGCAATCATCGTTTTCGTCTATTCTCGTTGGGATTCACACGTGGTACATCATTGGTTAAATTAGACGGTGATCAATTTGGGACAATCATCCAGACTCCATCTATTCCTGGATTTGGGGACCTGCAGCGTGTGCTTATCAATTGAGCATCAAACTTGATGCTTGCTGTATATTGGGGGGTTGCGAGTTCACACGTTCGCTTCTAACGTTCAAGATGTGTTTGAAAAATTGGGATGCGTCAAAACTTGCGGATGGTTCGATACTACAAATGACAAGTTAAGTGGTTGGGTGAGAATCACAATACAGACTTCTGTCTCCTGTGGGTGAACTGCTCATTTTCTCGGCCTCTTGGCCTTTTTTGGTCCCAGTATTCGGTGAAGAATCACGGCTTGTCCAAGAATCCAGAAATGTTTTCGAAGCAATTGTACCATAAAAAAAAACTCTCTTCTTGATTGGTTTATTGATTGGTTAGTGATGGTCATTTTGAGCTGATTGATGGTTATTGATGGTTATTGATGGTTATTGATGGTTATTGATGCTAATTGATGGTTATTGATTGGTTAGTTATTGATGCTTATTGATGGTTATTGATTGGTTATTGATGGTTTTGGTTATTGATGATGGTTATTGATTGATTGTTGATGGTTATTGAATCGCCCCATCCCCCACTAAAATTAAAAGCACATTTTTTGTGTGGATCAAAAACGAGCTGCTGTTAGTGATGGGCTGATTCACTGATCGGCATTCTCACTCAATGACTCGCAGCTGTGCAAAGGAACCCTGCAAAACACCAGTTTAATCCTGATTTGGTGTTTTGAGCTGTATAAAAGGACCCTACTGGCGAGGTATGCCCTAGTGCATTAGTCATTGTTTTTCTTTTTGGATCCTGAGGCCAGGGAAGGGCTTGCAACAGCATGGCAGCTGTATTGCGAGCATTTTGCAGACGGGCAGTGCGATGTAGCGAGTAAAACCGATGATTTCCTCCGGGATTTCTTGACTCGCGCCTTGAGTTGACAGAAGGGAGACTGCTGGAACAGAGCTTGCGAAAAGAAGTGTTTGTTTGATGCGGGCGGACAAGGAACTTTACCACGCTTGCTGTCATTACTTGCCACTGGCCTGACTGTTATTGCATTGCACTGGCATGACTGTTACAGTAAGTCTACCTCAAACTTTCGGCTGAGTGTTTGGGGTCCGCTCGTTTGCTTGTGTGGCACCATGGGCCGGCGTGCAAACGATATAAAAAAAGGTGCCGAGGAACCCAAGAAGAGATCAAAAAAGACCAAGGCCGGGTTCGCTACCCGATCTCTGCTTGGGAGCCAGTTTGTTATAGGGAAAACAAAAACTTGCTTGTGGGCAGTGAGAGGAGTGTCGCTCGGGGAATATTGCCCAAGTTGGGATCATTCGGTCAGTTTGCTGCTCTGAACACTTGACTGGAGGTCGAGGAGACCAACCCAGAAAGTCCGGTTGTTGCCACGGGCACCGAGAGCAGCTCTGTGAGTGGCAAGCAGCTCTGTGAGTGGCAACCTCGCAGTGCCCACAAGTGTGAAGGTGGGGGTTGGCGAATGATTCAGGGTATGGTTGGTGGAAACGAGAGAGAATATTTTGTTGGCAGGCAGAAACTATGCTACCTGCTTTGGACGTGGTCATGTCGTTGCAGGTGCCAAATGTACTGCTTTGAATTGTGATGTCAGATATCTTTTCGATACTTGAGTTCGAGGCCGCTTTGCCACATTTATCCAGCGCAGCTGCTGCGGATGTGAAGGCTCGTGTGGGCAGTGTGACAATTACTGTTGTCAGGGGGGTGTTTATATGAGGCAGCACTACAAGCCCTTGGCACCCCTTTGACGCTAGAGGCAGGCCATGAAAACGGGTATCCGAAGAAATTTTGCAAGCAGGTGTTGTGTCGTGAAGCGCCCGCATGGCTGTGAGGGGCTTGCTTGGGCTTGTTTCTTGTTCAGGCAGGCTCATCTTCTTCGAAGGTGTCAGCAGAAGCAGTGGTAGAGGTAGGCGCACGGATAAATTTTGGTGTCAGCAGAAGCAGTGGTAGAGGTAGGCGCACGGATAAATTTTGCGTTTCCGGCGCGGTTGTTTTCTAGCAACTCACTCGTTCAGGCCAGCTCATCTTGTGCGACGACTTCAAAGGTTCCAGCAGGAACAGCTATGGAGGCGATTGGCCTAGCCCCGGTCGTTCCTAGTCGTTCACAGACCTAGGACCCCCCCCCCTACCCCCCCGGGTCTGGGAAGCAGCTATTTTTCAATTTACATATCTTTTTTCCCTTCTTGATACTAGCTTCTCCGATTGTCTATGGTGATGGCAGATACAGGGACAGTCACAGTTTTTTCGTCAGGTTAGCCCATCAAGTGTCAAGTCTGCAGCAGCGGCGGTTGTGGAGGCACTGGTGAGAAAACATTGAGCTTTGAATGTTTAAGGACGTCTATTGCTTGTTGAAACAAGCAGCAGGAACAGTTTAGTCTTTGCCACTTAGTGTCTGTCGTGCAGGGAAGCTGTTCTCGATCGGAGCTTTCAGCGGGCATGGTTGTGGAGGCAACCACTAGCTACTATTCAATGTCGCTGTGCTTGCATTTGTAGCAAGTTCCAGATCTGGGTACCCCTCTGTATTTTACGGGACACATGCTAGAAAAGTACGGGACACATGCTAGAAAAGTACAAAGACAAAATTGAGTCCGAGAGAGTAGGGCCAATCAGTGTAAGAACTCTAAAAAATAATACGGAGCAATCATCGCTGCGCAGATCTCTTTCTATAGTTAAAGACTTAAGTTGGAGAGAAGTACCAGTAGCTGATCGGACAAAAAATACGGTACTTGAACTGTTTTGCTCGAAACCGTTCAACTTCATATAAGTGTGCCATCAGATCTGGAACCAGCCCCTTCAGGCAAACCCATCTGTGTGCAAGCCTGCAACAGAAACAGTGATGGAGGCGGAGGCAATTCTACAGATTGTAGTTTGAGTGAATACACTGAGTAACCCACAGAAGGTGAAGCACCATTGTTACAACTTGCCAGGCTGCAACACTATCAGTAGCTAGCACTGTCTCTCCCTCTGCAGCTGCCGAGGCTAGTGCGTTGTGTCAGATATACACACTCGAGACAGAACAGTTTTCCCTGGCCAACGAGTAGAATTGGATGAAATGATCGTCAATCGAAAAGACAGTGCGTCCCATAGACATGGCAAGTACTACCGATGAAAGGCTTTATGGATGTAGAGACAGGAAACAAATCCATAAAAGTGCAGTAGAAGTATTGAGAAATTTATGCATAGTTGTAGCACTGGTTCAACTTAGGAATCCCTTAGCGAACGCGAGTTGAGTATACGATTGAGCACGGTAGTATTATAAATCATACCCTATTCCTAGTCGTTTACAGACCTAGGACCCCCCCCCCTCCCCCCCTGGGTCTGGAAAGCAGCTATTTTTCCGTCTACATATCTTTTGTTTCCCTTCTTGATACTAGCCTCTTCAAGTTCATATAATTTTGCCATCAGATCTGGAACCAGCCCCTTCAGGCAAGCCCATCTGTGTGCAAGCCTGCAACAGAAACGGTGATGGAGGCGGAGGCAATTCTACAGACTGTAGTTTGAGTGAATACACTGCGTAACCCACAGAAGGTGAAGCACCATTGTTACAACTTGCCAGGCTGCAACATTATCAGTAGCTAGCAGTGTCTCTCCCTCTACAGCTGCCGAGGCTAGTGCGTTGTGTCAGATATACACGCTCGAGACGTAACAGTTTTCCCTGGCCAACGAGTAGAATTTGGTGAAATGATCATCAGTCGAAGAGACAGTGTGTCCCATAGACGTGGCAAGCATTACCAATGAAAGGCTTTCTGGTTGTAGAGACGGGAAACAAATCCATAAAAGTAGTGAGAAATTTATGCATAGTTGTAGCACTGGTTCAACTTAAGATTCCCTTAGCGAAAGCGAGGTGAGTATACGATTGAGCACGGTTGAGTATACGATTAAGCACGGTAGTATTATAAATCATACCCTATTCCTAGTCGTTTACAGACCTAGGACCCCCCCTTCCCCCCCCGGGTCTGGGAAGCAGCTATTTTTCCGTCTACCTATCTTTTTTTTCCCTTCTTGATACTAGCCTCTTCGAGTGTCTATGGTGATGGCATATGCAGGGACAGTCACAGTTTTTTGGTCAGGTTAGCTCATCAAGTGTCAAGTCTGCAGCATGGGCGGTTGTGGAGGCACTGGTGAGAGAACGCTCTGATAGGTGCAGTATACAGTGAGCTTTGAATGTTTGCGGAAGTCTATTCCTTGTTTAAACAAGCAGCAGGAACAGTTTAGTCTTTGCCACTTAGTGCCGTCCTGCAGGGAAGCTCTTCTTGTTCGGAGCTTTCGGCGGGTATGGTCGTGGAGGCAACCACTATCAACCACTCAACTTCGCTGTGCTTGCATTTGTCGCAGATCTGGGTACCTCTGTATTTTACGGGACACATACTAGAAAAGTACAAAGACAAAATTGAGTACGAGAGAGTAGGGCCAATCAGTGTAAGAACTCTGAAAAATAATACGGAGCAATCATCACTGCGCACATCTCTTTCAATAGTAAAAGAATTAAGTTGGAGAGAAGTATCAGTAGCTGATCGTACAAAAAATACGATACTTGAACTGTTTTGCTCGAAACCGTTCAACTTCATATAATTTTGCCATCAGATCTGGAACCAGCCCCTTCAGGCAAGCCCATCTGTGTGCAAGCCTGGAACAGAAACGGTGATGGAGGCGGAGGCAATTCTACAGACTGTAGTTTGAGTGAATACACTGAGTAACCCACAGAAGGTGAAGCACCATTGTTACAACTTGCCAGGCTGCAACATTATCAGTAGCTAGCAGTGTCTCTCCCTCTGCAGCTGCCGAGGCTAGTGCGTTGTGTCAGATATACACACTCGAGACAGAACAGTTTTCCCTGGCAACGAGTAGAATCTGGTGAAATACTTGCATGGTTTTGAGTGCCCTGTTGAAGTTCTTCGCAGGCAAGCCCGTCACTTCGCAAGTCTGCAGCAGGAATCGCGGTCGAGGCAAGGCAGTTCTTGCCAATTAGCCCTAGTTTCGTGAAGCGCCTCTTAGGTACGAATGCTCTTGATGAAGTCTGTCTCTCTTGCAGGCAAGCTCTGCTCCTGCTGAAGCTGCAGCAGGACTGGTTGTGGAGGCAATCAAGCCGTATGCTTCCAACAGTACCTACTCACAGATCTGGAGCCCCCTTCGCCTCAAGCAAGTCTATCTGTGTCCAAGCCTACAGCCTTCAGGCAAGCCCATCTGTGTCCAAGCCAGCAGCAGAAACAGTGATGGAGGCGGAGGTGCGTACACAGATTATAGTTTGAGTAAATATAGTGGATAACCCATAGAAGTTGAAGTACCTCTGTTTCAATGCGCCAGACTCTAACATTGTCAGTAGCAAACAGCGCGGAGGCAGCCCTGCCAACAACGGCGCTTCCCGGTGCTTGGGTGATGGGCCAAGAGATAGACAAGTATGTTACCTAGACTGCGTATGCTACAGAAATTGCAGAGACCAGCGTCGCCATTGGTTAGATGCCTTGCTAACCAGTTTATAGTGTGGTGAAACGCTTACCTGCTTTTGAATTCTGCGTTGGTGTTGGTGTTCTTCTCAGGTGAGCCCAACAACACTCGAGTTCGCAAGCGCAGTAAGTCCCGCGTTTGCAGCGGGGACAGCTCTGGAGGCAAGCAAGCAGAGAGTATTATAGTCTGATGGAGTGCCCCTTTGGATTTGAGTGTTTGCTGGAGCTTGGCAATTCTCAAGTTTGCAGCAGGAACAGCCGCAGAGGCAACCAAGCAAAGACCACTCTAGGATAATGAAGTGTCTTACCTGGTCGGGAAGTTTGTTCCTTGGTCAGGTAAGCCCGTCTGTTGGTCCGGCGACGACTGGATTGGCCAGCTCTGGTTCTTTGGTTCAGGCAGATAATCCATGGTGTGGCTACGCACATCCAAACCTTGAGTAGAGAAGCATCGCTTCTAAATAGGCCTATAAGAGGGTAGAGTGTCCATTTGCGGGTCAGGTTAGCCCGTCTTCTTCCCCGGCAACGACCGCGCTTTCCACCTCTCGTGGTTCTTTGGTTCAGGCATGCTATGAGATTCACGGTGCAGCTATGCATGTGCAAACCTTGAATAGAGAAGCACATCCATATCTTCGAAATAGACCAGTCTGTCCGACATGACGAAAATTTCGTGCTGCCTGCTGTTTATACAAAGATTAGTGGCACACTTGTGATCCCGCTAGCCAGGCTTTGGCATCTCCAAAGAAGCGAGTTCTGCGGCCGCAGCGAGTTACGCTTGCTGGAGTGATTGGGGCTCCAGGTGGAGCTGTTCTTCATCAGCCTGGACACTTGTCTGCTGTTGTCTATATGCTAACCGAGAATGCGAGCCTGCTCAACGAGCACTTTGATTCATCCCTGGAGGGCATTGCTGTGGGTTTTGAGTACGATGAGAAACGTTTCAAGGAGAATTGGGCCGCCTATCTGACCAGCGAGAACATCACAGGTTCTACACTCCTTGAAACCTACCGTGTGATTTGCCGAGTCGGACCGCCGCCGCGGTACATCAAGACACTTCTGGGCTGTGGTGAGGCAGACAACTGCTTAAGTCTGATGGATTTTTTTTTGCTCCATCGGGCAGCTGCAGGTATGCCCTTGTGCAGTGTGATTGTTCACAACAGCAGCAATCAGGACCTGCAGGAATGGCTTGGAGGAAGCAGCCTGCCCGGTCTTGAAGTTCACAGTTGCTCCGTGGTCAACGCTCCCATTCACTTCCTGTACCTTGGCACAGCGGAGCGCCGACCGGTGCTGATAGTGCGAGGCGTCAACGATGCAGACGTGCAGTTGCTGCTCAGCCACCAGACGTGGATTTTCAGAGGTGGGCTCCCCAACTGGTCCGGGGGTTGGTTTGACAAAAAAATGACAGGAAGTGGAGAAAGGTGCCCCGGGGGCGACCTACATTCGCTACACACCGGCCATTCCTGGTATCCAGATGGAGGGTTGGTTGCAGGCCATGGACAAGTATTGCATGGAGTACCAGCTGGAAGGCAAGATTCCGGGCTGCGTTGCCAGTGTATTGGCTGCTCCGCCATGGCTGAGTTTGAAAAGGATGTGAAAAGGATTTGAGCAGAGATTGGTATCTTGCAGCCGTGGAGGAGATTGCTGTCAGAAATTCGTGTGTTGTTGGAAAACTACAGTCCAAGTCACTTATCCTGCTTGAAACATGCACTTTTACAAGTGATAACGCTTGCTGACTATATTCCTTCACATTGCTCTTAATTCTGTGCGCATCAATTCTGTAAGTGGGCAGTTTGCGGTCGTGTTCGAAACCAGCGCCAAGGGGAACAACCGAAAATGCATTCACAAATTGTTTACGGTGCTACAGATCAGATCGAACATTGCGGCTACTGTCCAAATTCCAGAGGTATTTGAAAAATGGAACGGAAGTGCCGTGATTCACCGAGTTGTTCAAGTTCTCTATCTGGTCACACAAGTCCAACTTCCTTTCCATATCCATTTGAATCTTGTACCCAGTAGTTCACAAAGGATGTGATGCAAGACGGCAATACAGGTCAAACATAGTCGCCGCTCTGAAAGCCTGGAGTTCTAAACCAAAGGCAGACTTCAATGCTGCCGGCGTCTCTTTTCAATTTGCGGAAGCTGCGCTGCGCTCGCAGAGTTGATGCTGCAATACTAAAACCTTGGGTGGTCATACGATGCAACAAATGGGCATATCGAACAAGTATGGATTCCTCCAGGCAGTCTTCTTCCGCATTACTTTCAATTCTGCAAGTCTTAATTCGGTAAGTGGGGCATGCGGTCGTGTTCGGAAGTAGCACCAACAAACGAAATAACAGAAGATGCTCTTACTAGCTAAGTGTTTTTATACATACGGCAAATATTTTGCACTATTTATGTAGTAGCACGGTGCTATAGATCAGATCGAATACTGAGATTGCTGCCACGAGTTCCAGCCATATTTGAGAAATGGAATGCATGTGTCGGTGGCCGACCGAATTGTTCAAAGTCGTCTATCCTGGACCACACAAGCCTAACTTACTTTTGGTGTGGTCCAACTTACTTTCTAACTTACTTATATACCCATTTGATTCCTGCAGCAGGTACTTTGCAAAAGAAGTATGGCAAGACGGCAATACAGATTCAATATGTTTGTTGCCACAAAGTTGCAACTTTGCAAAAGAAGTATGGCAAGACGGCAATTCAGATTGAACATGATTGTTGCCACAAAGTTCCAGAGTTCTATCCGTGCCACTTCACAGATGCTGCGCTCACGGTCACTGAGACTGCTCAACAAGTTCCAGAGGCATTTGAAAAATAGACCAGACGTGCTGGTAGCTCACAAAATTTTGTTCAATGCCATCTATTTTAACCAGTGGAACCGCACAAGCCGAGCTACCTTTCTATCTGTTTGATACCTGTGGGTAATTTGCACACAGCACTATAGGTCGACTACGGAAGCTGCCACAAAGGTCCAGAGCCAGATTTCGCTCTCACTTGAAAGAAAACAACCACAGTTGTGCATCCGTAATCCAGTATCGAAATTTCATCGAAGATAATAGCACATACAGCTGCTACCCAGATCTACGTGCAACTTTTGGATTGGGTCTGAATATGTTTCGTGGCATTTTAGATATCTTCAAACTCTTCCTGCTCCGTGTCGTCAGTCCCCAGAGCCTTGAAGTTGTGCCCTTCTTTGGGGCCTTCGTTCCAAGCACATGAAACATGTAAGCAGTAATGCATGTAGCAATGCAGCAATGTTACCTTCACTTATAGATTGCATTCCTATAAGGTGGCGCCCCCTAGATAGCTAAGTTGGTTTATAACTCCAATAACTAGATATATCTATAGCTGGGATTATAAACCAACTTATAACTTGGGGGCACCACACGCGCCGGTGGCGCAATGGACTACACACGTGTGGCGTCCACCCAGCATGAGCAGATAGCATTACTGATTCAGCTGTGTGTCTACGCAATTCTACGGGACCAAGGGCGCAGTCTTCAAACTGTGGGGTGCCGTCATGCTGCATTGCAATTTCACGACGGCAGACCTCGTCCAGCAAAGACGCTTCACGATGCGATGAATGCCGAGCCTCGGTCGGCAAAGTCATCCTCAGTAATCAGCCACATTCCATTGCGTTTTATAGCTCCCACCACCAAGGGCTTCCAGTTAAGTATGCAGCAGTTCCTTTCGGTTCTACCTTTTCGAAGCAAGAGATAGCCTGCATAGCCACATACTAAGTGAGACAACGGGAAAAAAAACCATATCGGTCCAATTTATCACACCGCGATGAGCGTTCTTTGGCATATTTGGTTTTGGCAGCTTTGACGGACAGTTTGCCCTTCCTGCCACACTCCCGCGCAGAAATACATCTGATGCTAACCTTTCTTCACTTTTTTCAAAGCAACCTCTCACACAGGTACAGTTCGACGTGTGGTCGACTGCCCCAAAGTATGTCGCAGCGAAGAAGCTTTTGGATCAGTGCCACAGCCCAACAGAGGTCCTACAGACATCTTATCTCATGACCTGGTTCGGCTCTGCGATCTTCGCCCAAGAGCTCTTGAGGCGTCCGTTCTGGGAAAATCATTGCCTGAGGGACAGGCTATTCAATTTGAAGTAAATTCTCTTCTGAAAAGTCAGGCAATCCCTGAAGGTTAACCCTTTATAAAAGCTTCCTCTTGTACCAACCTGCTCTAGGGTTCTGATAACATACTCTTCTCTTTTCAGGATCCGGGATGGCGGTGGACCAATCGGATCCTACAAGCAAGAGGTGGCCCGTGTTCTCCGAAATAAAGGTTGCCACTGTGCTGACCTTGTGAGTTCCGGCACCATTTGGCATCGGCTTCAACGAGGTCACCTGCGAAAGCTTGGGAAGCTTGCAGCTCGTACACAGTTACTCCACTATTTCGAGCAGCTCGAACCACAGATGGTACCTCCGAAACTGAAAGATGGCCGAGTGTGGCGCACAAAAAAACAGATATTGAAGCAGCTCAAACAACTCCCGAACTTTTCCACGTACCTGGTGGGGCAATTTTGGTTGCTTTTGCGGTATTCCTACCAATATCCAAGGTATCTTGTTCAGTCCTACAGTGAGTTTGGCCCAGGAACAAAGCGTGGATTATTATGGCTGTCGCTGGGTCAAGCGTCAGAAAACTACCTTTTCAATTTTATATTCTTTCTTGGATATACCTTCCACGAATAGAATATCACCCTATGACCCCGCGCGGGTGTAAGCAACAAGCAGTTCACCACTTCTGCTTTCCTCGTACCAAGGGCTGGCTTCCCCACACAGCTCTGCGCTGGCTCTACCTCGACCCCAACCCTTCAGTTTTTTTATCGCTTACTTGCGGAGACATTTCACTGCTTTCGATCTCATCGAGACCTTCAACCTTGTGCTGGAGACACGACAGCCATCCGTGCTGCCAAAGTGCCTCGCCCGCATACATTACAGATCGGTCGGAACACGCCAGCATCTCAGCCGTGCGAGGCGCTTCTTCGCAACGAAGTGAGTGACCATGACAGTTGGGCCTGGCTGCTGTGCGAGTATCAGCGTGCGGTGGCTTGGTTAGCAGCTCTTCACTGAATGCCAGGAGCCTCAGACACTGTCTCATCTTTGACCCACTGCTACATCTGAACTACCTGTTGGTAATCGTAGAAAACGGACGCTCGTGTGTCAGTTCATCGCGTTTGTTTTCGGGCAGCATGAGAGACATTTCGAACTGATTTCTTTCAGACATGTCTACTTCTTTGAAACAAATCCACCAGGACGTGGGGGCACTCCTGGTACAAGAGCATAGCTTTTCTTGGGCTGGCATTACCTGTCCAAGTTCGGCTTTTGACAGGCAGGCGTCTTCAAATTCAGCTGGCCCCAACACATTGACAATTTTAACTTTCGGGGATGGTTCTGTTTGATAGGGCATCAAGCTTCTGTTGGATACGACATCTATGCCTCGTTTTTTTATGTGGCAACATCCTGGTTTTTGATTTGCTAGCATCCAGAGAAGATATCACTATGTCTGAAGAACACGTTTTTGTGATCTATGCCTGCAGGATATCATACCATCCCGGTAGTTTTTTCGGGCCGTCAATTTTGCAAGTTTCAAGTTGGAAGTCTCCATTTTGCAAGTGGGCAGCATGCTAAGAATGGCTTTAGACGCCATCTCGCAGGTGCAGTTGAAGGGCGTTCCAATCAACAACATGAACCGCTCCGTGGGCAGCATCCTCAGTTTTGCGGCCGGGCCCATAGGTCAACAACATCAGCACATATGATGTTTACTTCCAGTATGTCGGTACATCCAAAGATTTTGGAACCCAAATCTGTAGATCTTTGGTGTTTTCTTGTTCTCGTTTTTCTATTTCTCTTCCCCTTACGAAGGCAGCCAAAGTTTGGGGTATACGGGGAAAACCTTTTCAGACCACCACGGATACCGAGATTGCCCTGCAGGTCAGCAAGAAGTTCGGGGCAAAAGGATTGCCAGAGGCCTATTTGAATACGTGCATCTGAACCATTCAGAAAAACGATGGGGGTGTCTGGTCGTTGTTATCTTGTACTGCCACCAGAGCTCTGTTCACTAGAATGCTTGCACAATTCGGACCGCACAATTATTGCCTCATGTGGAACTGCTTGATACATTGTCATCTAGCCCATCCCGAAGTTGGTTGATACCCCCAAAAAGCTTGTTGAGGTTTGGTGTGCAATATCTCCGTGCTTGTGCATTGCTGTTCCCCTGAAATGGTCTTACGTATGGGATGTGAGTGTGGCACCCTGCAAGTTTCAGGTGTAGAACCCTGACAAGAAGAAGGGCTTCCACGGATATGAATGCAAGGCTATGCCCTACCAACAGCAGCAGGATCGAGTGTTGGACTGGGAGGTAGGCACACCAAACCAAGAAGAGCCCCCATGCTGCATTGGATGACATAAGATGACAACGCAGCAACCCCAGGACTTGGCAAGAGTCCGGATATTTGGTGGATCAACTCAGTTTTTTGAACCCATGAAGAACTGCCGCCCGCGTGCCGCCGACCCTAGAAACACAATTTATGGCAAATCTGTGATATACTATAAATATGTAGAGAGATAAATGAACCAGAAAACCATCATATATGTATACATGCACACGCACACACACCTAATCTATACTGAATCGAGTCGCGCGCCCGTCAATGGGAATGGCGATGGGAATACGACTTTAGCGGAGATCAAATATGGCTGGGAAAGCGGCCACGAACTATTCCGTATTTATGGGAACATCGTATTTCGATAGGGTATGTGCCCTTGCCCTGTTGGATGACTTGTAATATCTTCTAACCATATACCCATGAGGTGGGGTGGGGTGGGACAATAGCGTCATTTGCTGTATGTTCTCATACACTTGCACACATACGTCATGCTACCCTCCTGTACGTCCTCGTGCACTTGCATACATACGTCATGCTACGCCGCTGTACATTCTCATGCCCTTGCACACATACGTCATGCTACATGCACTTGCATACATACGTCATGCTACGCCGCTGTCCGTTCTCATGCACTTGCATACATACGTCAGGCTACGCTGCTGTGCGTTCTCATGTACTTGCACGCATACGTCATGCTGTACGTTCTCATGCACTTGCACACATACATCATACTACGCCGCTGTACGTTCGCATGCACTTGCACACATACGTCATGCTACGCCGCTGTACGTTCTCATGCACTTGCCACACATCCGTCATGCTATTCTGCTGTACGTTTTCATGCACTTGCACGCATACGTCATGCTACGCTGCTGTACATTCTCACGCACCTGCACACATACGTCATGCTACGCTGCTGTACGTTCTCATGCACTTGCACATATACGTCATGCTGCGCTGCTGTACGTTTTCATGCACTTGCACGCATACGTCATGCTACACCGCTGTACGTTCTCATGCACTTCCAGATCGTAGGGTGGGTGTTAGGTGGATGGTTATGGATAGGTAAATGATCATGATGATGATGAGGATGATGATGACGATGATGATGATGATAATGATGATGATGAAATTGCTCCTGATACTCAAGTTTCGTTTTTCAGCGTTTTGTGTTCCCCCCCTCTAAAATATTTGAAAAGTGACAACAGCGGGGGCCCCCTCAGATACCCGGCACCATATTTTAAGCCCTTGCCGGCTAGCAAATGGTACCCTGAAAAAAGGAAAGGGCATGGCACCACAGCGTGTTGCTGGCAACCTTACGAGACAGGGAATCGGCACCCAGCTGGAAGGCCCACACAGCGCATGTTTCGAAACCCTGGGAGACAGGGAAACAGCACCCATGGTCGTTGTCGTTGTTGTCGTTGTTATCGTTGTTGTTCTTGTTCTTGTTGTTGTTGTTGTTCTTGTTCTTGTTCTTCAAGAAAGCCTTCAAGAAAGCCTTCAGAGCTTCATGGTGGACCTTGATTGAACGCAGCTGTAACGTCGGACAAACTGCAGTGCTCTTCGGACGCGCTCCCCCTGCCAGCGGCTGGGGTCGGTGGATATTTTTTCGGTGCATATTTTTACGCTTCATTATACATATCTTGTGATGGACGGGGCTGCTTGTTTTCTCTTGAGATGTTCCTGGCTATCCCTACAAGGCCTGCATACTTTCCCCAGATTTAGTGAGGTCAGCCGTAGCACAACTGGATGCAAACACAGACAGCACGATGCAGACACACTTACTTGTCACCTGTCCTTGCGCAATTGGTTTTGGATGGTTTTGGTGGTTTTACCTGGGAAGGGGAAAGTTGCACTTTTCTAACCGGAACAAGATTCCTGATATAAGATCATCAATCATGTTGCTGTAAGCTTGTAGCATCATTGAACCGCGACCTGTCTGGTTTTTTTTCATCTTCGGTCTTGACATATGGATGGCTGATCAAACTCGCGTCGTTATCCCTCTTCACAATGCAAAGTTAGCCCCAACAGAGGTACTTTAGGCCAAGTAACCAGCATGACTCTGTGACAGTAGTTTCTCTTGAATCAGTGTTGTATAAGAAGAAGACAGAGGACTAATTTTGCTGTACAACCGTCAGGGTTAGTCAAGGCTGTCAAGTCTCCAAGTTTTACTAATGTTTTTCTACAGACAAACCCCAGAGGCGTGAGCTCGAGCAGCCAGGGGGGTCAGCCATTTTCAGCTATACCTAGATGGGTATTGATTGGCACGGGTTTTTCTAACAGGATGCTTTTCGGACAAACTCTAAGACCAGGGAACAGCAGGACAAAATAGGACAAACGTGTTCATGCTAGGTCTTAGATTCGAAAGAATCCATGGTTGCCTAGGAATCGCTTGCCAGGATCCGCCACAAGTGACCAATGGCAGACGCTTTAGAATGATGCCACCATCCCGCACTGCGTTGACTTTCAACAACTGGCTAATTTTTGGCAGTACTGGTGGTGACGGTCAATTCCGGCAGCTTTCCTCGATGACTCAACCATCAATCATCACCGCGAGACAGAAAAATGCTACCAGAAAAAGTTACTTATCCACTCATCTGCAATTTCCAATACCTGGCAGCAATAAGATTGTTTGCATTGCTCTTGATCTCCCGTTCTCTTAACCTAGGTCTGCCTTGTCCAGATAGAAGCCTCTGTCCAACTCTCAACAGCTCCCGGAACCCATGCTTTGGACTTGCAGTGGAAACGCAGTTGTTTTTTCGTAGCAGGACATCACCTCCGATTTCGTTTACTCAATTCCAGGTATTCAGCCAACATACCTGCCTGACGTTGTGACAAGGGCCCAGCTACAGCAGTTCCTTTCAGATCCACGAAAGAAGCTAACTCAACAGCTTTGTACTCACCACAACACTGCTAGGAAGACACCCCTAACCTGTGGAACTGCTCAATCTTGCTTCAAATATTGTGTCGATCAACAATCAATTTGGTAATGGCAACCTCCTTCCATAGTTTTTCGAATCCAAAGGAAGCCTTGCACTAAGGTGCTGCCTTCACGTCAATTTGTTTGAACGCAAACCTGCGAGTGAGACCAGGACCACTGCTGGCATGGCAAGTTTTATATGCTGCTTCATGAAAACCAGAAGAGTTTTTAGCGACTGCCAGACCAAACGCAAGAACATAGCTAGCAGCTTGAGGTTCTAGACTACTGGGACTTTTGTTCACATATCTGAAGGAGCGGCAAGCTAGAGGAACCCTCTTTTGTGGCTATGCATTCGAATCACTCTCAGCAGGCCAAGCCGTCTGTCGGCATGAGCAAGACCCTTTTTTTCCTGCTCTTTTTCTACCGAGAGGGCCATCTCTTTCTAGCACATTTTGTTGGACGCTGTGCCGCAGTTGCATTTTCCTGCTGTTTTTCCTGACAACTTACTATGCGGCTATGCGGCAACGTATATATGAGAAACAAACACGGACCGTGGAACATTTGAAGGTTCAAACGTGGCATCTGGGCCCTTTGGCTTTAATTCCAAAAAGACCGCTGAAAATTGCAAAAATGGAGCCTTGAAATGTGGAAACATGCGCTTTTAAACGTGGAAACTCCGGCGTTGGAAGTGTGGAAAATGAATACTTATAAGGTAGAAACTTGATCCTTTTAAAGAGCGGAAAGATTGGAAAATGACCACTTAT